GAGAGAGAGAGTGGTAGGTTGTCCTTACTAAGTACCAACGACTCTGTTTGTACTTGATTCACTCTGATCTCCCCCAAAAGATTTAGCCATTCCGAAATCGGAGATCTTAGGGTTCATGTCATTGTCCAGTAAAACATTTCCAGCTTTTAGATCTCTATGTATGATCCTCAATCTTGAATCTTGATGAAGATAGAGAAGCCCTCGAGCGATTCCATTGATGATGTTCATTCTTTTTCCCCAATCCAATTCTTGACTTCTTCTTTCATCTTTATGTACAATTATATAACAATTATGAAACTTAAGCAACATGGTCATTACCTTAAAAGCTACAACAAGATGATGAGATTGAGTTTGTAAAGTAGAACATACCGAAGATAAAGAAGTCTAAGCTTTTGTTAGGCATATACTCATAGATCAACATGCGTTCTTCCCCTTGAATGCAACATCCTAAAAGCCTCACGAGGTTACGATGTTGAAGCTTTGCGATAAGTCTCACTTCGTTCTTGAACTCCTCCACTCCTTGTCCTGAGTTAGCACATAGCCTCTTCACCGCGATCTCTTGTCCTTCCTCTAACTTACCCTGTGACAATTTGCAAAGAAATTGATCAGAATTCAAGATTCTAATCAATACTAGTAATTCAAAATGTGGTGAATATGTTGTATACAACCTTGTAAACAGGTCCAAATCCTCCTCGTCCTAGAAAGTTTGTGTCTGAGAAATCATCAGTGGCTTTGGAAATTGTTTTGATGTCAAGAATAGGCAAGTCCAAGTCCTCTTCCCCAATCCCTTTTCTCCAATTTTCTCCTGAAAAAAAGTAATAACCACCAAATTGCAATGTCTTAACAGAAAAACTCATAGTTGCAAAAGAGAATCGATAATTTCAAAAATATCACCGCGATATCTCTTCATAATCTTCTTTCTGCAGCAGGCAAGCACGGCAACTAAAACAACTGCAACGCCCATAACCGATCCAACGACCATTCCCACCACTTCTCTTCCTTTAAACTCTTTTCTGGCGAAACCCATTCTTATATAAACATCTTGGCCAAAGCTAGAATACTCTCTCATATCAACCAAGTCACCAAACCATAGCAGACAACCTTTTCCTCCCTCGCGAATATCAGTATTCGCATAAGCCGTGCAAGAACAGTTACTTGAACATTTGATCTTACAATCCTCAAGTGTCATTACATTTCTTGAATCATACCAAGACCATGAAGTATCAGGTAATTTCATACCTGGGAACCTCACAAATGTATCTTTCTTTCCGCAATTGGTTGGAATCTCATGGACACACCCGTCTGCTCCTCTTGAAACATTCCATTTTCGACCTGACTTTGGCTTGAATCCTTGTAAACATGAACAAGAAGGTGTGTTTTTGCTACTAATCCCACAAACCGCATAAGCTCCACATATGGAGTAGTAGTCACACTCATCTTCTGGTGCAGTGTTCGCTAAGATCCACTGGCGTTGCTTTGATTGGACAAACCTATGGAGTTTCCCTCTGCTGGTTAAGACTAATCTCGAGACAATTTTGCGTCGAGGAGTCCATGAGTAGTTTACTTCTTGCTCACTCGACGTGAATTTGTAGTCGAATAAGCTGTTCTCTCGTCCCATAGCTGGAGCTCCGGTGAAGGCTAAGCCATTCCAAGATCCTAAGCGATAGGAATAACTAGGATCTCCTTTCTTCCTCAAGATCAATTGTGGTAAACCTCGAGTGTCTAGAGACAGAGTGAATTCACCTGTGGAAGGATCTTTTAGAGTTTTCCAAGACGACAAAGACCATTCTATCTGTGTCTTGAAATTCTTTCCAAGCTTCATACCCGCGAGTACTGTATCCATAGGATAATCAAAACTCTGCCACAACACAGCTTCTTCTCCATCACTGGATACTAGATTCCCTGTGCTGAGTATCTTCAAGAGGGGATATTTCGCGGATTTAGAAGTTTTTGATGATGACGACCACAAGGCTCTGTGTTCACCATCGAATAGCTCAAGATCGCCGTGAGAACTCATGTTCAAGAATCCAGATTTGCCGTAGAGAGGATTATTTCGGTTAGCAACCCAAATGACTGCAAATGGTTCCTTGTACCACAAGCCAAGAAACCGATGCTGAGGCTGCTCTTCTTGGTCAAGACTAAAAAACCCTAATTGGAAGACTTGGTCTGGCGAACTAAGAGTATCTCCATCCTTGAGGGATTCTCTTGGAGTGAAGACTCTATAATCCAAAGCAACAGAGAGAAACGATAATAATAAGAACAGAGATACCCAAAACAGAGAACGAATATTTCTCATTTGGTGAACTTTAAAAATAAAAATAAAATGATCGAAAGAACAAACCCTTCTCTTTATGTTAGTTACCAAAGAAGGTGAT